CCCTTCAGCTTCTCCCATGTCTCACTGGAAATTCCTGGAGGAAAGCACAGAGCCTGTCCCTGATCTCTTGGGAAGTCTCTAGTTAATGTTCCTTGGTTTTAGAAAATGGTAACAAAACAGAACACGAGATGGCTTCAGACACTGCAAAAATAAACTGCACAGGTTTCCCTGAAAAGAACCTCCCTGGGCGAGCTCCACCAGGAAAAGGATTTGTTGGATATTTGTTGGCTCACCACTTTTTAAAACATTAACCTTTCATGTAGGAACCAGAGCCTGCTTAGGGGCTGCTTGAAGTTTACAAAGGATCACAGTCCTGCTGAGCTGATTCTGCCTGTGTTTTACACACCTACATTTTATTATTCTGTGTAACTAATTTTATATTATTCATTTTTGTCATTGAGTCCTTACCCAACTATGACAGCAATCCATGCCCCAAACCTGCAGAAAGGTGGGTGCTTGGGGTTTTTGGGGTTGGTTTTTTTTTTTTTTTTTTTTGTTTTGTTTTTTAAATGGCTTGTATGGATGGTGAAGTGGCCTCAATGTATTTACAGCTCAGTGGCTATTTTACTAATCCTGTGTTTGTTTTCCCTCATTCTCTTTGTCTCAAAAAATGTTATTTTTGTTGTCAGGGAGATGGGTTGGTGTCTTGTCTGGCAAGTGAAGTGATGTGCAAATGGTTGAGTGCTCTGCAGAGCAGTTGGTGCCTGTGTTTGGTTGGGGGCCTTGGAGCTTTGGGGGTGGTGGATTTTTCTGTTTGTTCTGATGCTGTGCTGACAGACTGGGGCTTTTGGAAGTGTTTTTCTCACTGCAGTGCATTTTCATCCTGAGGGAACGAGCCAGTTAACATTTTACTTTTTATGCAGCTCTTGGTTTAGAGGCTTCTCCCAGATTTAAAACTGAGCTGCCTTCAGTTTCAGATAAATGAAAGCCTCTCAAGTAAGGGTTTTTGGGACACCACAGAGGTAAACTCGAGCTTATCTCTGGCTTGGTGGGAAACCTGAGCTGTGGTTTGGGTGCTGGCCCCATCCATCACTGTCAGACCCCACCTGTGCCAGGCATTAGATGCTGGTGGCCCAAATCTTCCCTGTCCCAGCCCCCTGAATTCCTCATTCCTTCCTGATTTCTCTCTCTTATCAAATACTTCTCCTGCTGTCCAAAGTTAAAACCAGGCAGCTGGAGTCATCAAAGGATATATGGAGGTACCACAGAAGAATTCCCTAGGAAGCTGCAGGTGCTTTGACCCAGCCAGGGATTTCAAGAGCTTGGGAAAGCAAGAGTGGGATACTTTGGGAATTTGTGTTTGGAAAACAAACCTCAGCTTCCTCAGGGCCCCATCCAGGACTCCCTGCAGGCTCACAGGGCCACATCTCCTGGTTTTCCTGAGGAGCTGTCATGGATCCCTGGTGTGATCCCTGCACATACCAGGATTTCCTCAGTCTGGGCTTGTGTTTGTGTGGCCAGGCAGGAGGGCTGGGGAGGGTTAGGAGCAGGAGTGATGTGCCCAGGGTTTGGGTGTTGCCAGAGCCCCTGGGGATGGTTCAGGGCTTTGTGCTCAGCCCCTGGCAGCAGCACTGAGCCTAAACCTGAGCAGAGAGCTGCAGGTACAGCCAGGCAGGTGCTGTGGCTCTCCAGTATCTGAATAATCCCAACAGAACCTTTAGGAAGATTATAATAAGTTTTGAAATGGTACAATTAGAGAATAACCAGGGTTGGAAGAGACCTTTAACATCATCAAGTCCAGCTGTTTCCCCATCCCTGCTGGAACATTAAACCACATCTCCCAGATCCCCATCAGGGATGGGGACTCCAGCAGCCCTCTGAGCAACCTATCCCAATGCCTGACCCCAAAAACAATGGGAAAACTTGTCTAGTATCCAACTTGAATCTCCTGTCTCAGTTTAAGGCTGTTTCCACTTGTCCTCTTGCTGTTGTGGAAGGTGTCAGGATAAATCAAACTCTCCAACACTGTTTTCTTAGGATTGGAAGGTAGGCATTTCTTCAGTCACAGTGCTGGGATAATTCCACCAGGATGTAAAAATAAAGGGGTTTTCCCCAGTTAATTAGTGCATACAAAGGCAAATGAAGGAAAATAAGGTGGCATTTGAGGGCTTGAGGATGTGTGTGCTGGGATTTTGGGAGTGATGGTGAGGATGGAGATATCCCATGGCTGGGGGAGGAGCAGCTCAAGGGAAAAGGCTGAGCCAGGGCAAGGGATGGATCCTGATCCAGAGGAAAGGCTGGGTGCTGATCCAGAGGAAGGGCTGGGTGCTGATCCAGAGGAAGGGCTGGGTGCTGAACCAGGGGAAAGGCTGGTGATCCAGAGGAAGGGCTGGGTGCTGAACCAGGGGAAAGGCTGGTGATCCAGAGGAAGGGCTGGGTGCTGATCCAGAGCAAAGGCTGAGTGCTGATCCAGATGCTGATCCAGAGGAAGGGCTGGGTGCTGATCCAGATGCTGATCCAGAGGAAGGGCTGGGTGCTGATCCAGAGGAAGGGATGGGTGCTGATCCAGATGCTGATCCAGAGGAAGGGATGGATGCTGATCCAGAGCAAAGGCTGGATGCTGATCCAGATGCTGATCCAGAGGAAGGGCTGGGTGCTGATCCAGAGGAAGGGCTGGGTGCTGATCCAGATGCTGATCCAGCACAGCCTTCCCACGTTGGGAGGGCGAGTGGTGATGGGCTCTGGCCAGTGACGCCGGGCCAGCATCTCGTTAAACACGTGTGGGATTGTTCTGTGAGGGAGCTGAGCCTGCTGCCATCTGCTCCACAGAGCCAATTCAACGAGAGGGCTGGGGAGAATGAAGTACAGATGCTAATGGGCTGTGTAAACTGCAGGGCAAGTTCTCCTAAATATTTAGACTGTTTTCTTGAGGTTGTGTGTGGGGCTGACTTTCTCTCTGCTCTGTGAAGTTCCCTCCACTTCTTTTGAGGTTGCCACTTAGCTCTGATTTTCTGGTTAAAGTTAGGGCACTTTTAAGTCAGTGAAATTAGCTTAAAGATGTTTTTTCCCCCCTAGAGTGGAATTGTGCCCAGGAATTCTTGAATAGGGAGAAGATATCCTGAGCAGGGACTGGACCCAGGCAGGGGCTGAGCAGTTCATGTGTAGCCTCGGGGTTGGATTCTCAATCCTTACTCGATTTTTACTGTTGGTTTACTCATTATGTGTGTTTAGTTTGACTGAGGAATTCCTGCTCCCCCCTCTCAGCCATGCACAGTGCTTTTAATTAAAACAACAGAATACACCAGACCATTTTAAAGAAATTAACTAATTCAAAATCAAGCAAAATAGGTTAAAAACCAAGCCAAATAAATTCCTGCTGGCATCGTGACTCTTACATAACCATGGGCGATGTTCCCTGGCATTATTTTGCAAGTTCATAAATGAGCTACATGTGAAAAGGGTGGAAGAAGGGTCAGCTTTGTGTTAGGGACAGAAAGCTCCATTCTCAGGGGCTGACAGTTGATTTCCTCCTGGTTCCTTTTGATGTCTGCGCACTAAACGCTGCGTGGACAGAAAAATTCAATTCATTTAAAACATTTTGCATCAAAATGACATGCTTTAATGTATTTCCTTCTGATGTTTAAGTTATCTTTTCATCTCTCGAGGGAGGGAAGAAAAAAGCCAACATGTTTGTAGTTAAAGTACCCAAGCAGAGCTTTAAACAAAGGTCTCGATGAAGTCTCAATGTACAGGCAGCTTTTAAGAGTAGAAACCTTTTTTTTTTCCCCCCTCTTCCCTGCCCTCCCTTCTTGGCTCTCTGAGCCTTGTAAGCCAAGGAGATTTATTGCTGCCCTTCCAAATGCTTCTTCAGAATGAAGAGTTCACATTTTTGAAATTCCTCAAGTCCTCAGGAGGGAGAGGGATAAGGGGAAGTGATGATGGGGAGCACACCAAAGGATTTTCCAGGCTGGTTTTGCTGCCTGTAGCTGCTGGGAGGGAATCAGCTGAACCTGCATCAAAAGAACTCTTGGAGCTGTGGACTCCAAGAGTTGTCAGGGAGATGAATTTGGATGAAACTGAAACTTTTTAGTAATTGCAGTTGTTGTTGCTGATAATGCAACCCAGGGAGTTTAGGAATCCCTGTCCTTGGCCAGGTGTAGCCACGTGTGTGACTCAGCACTGACAGAATTGGGATCCATCCCCTCTGTGAACCCCCAGCTCTCCTGGAAAAATGTCTTTTTACAGCCTAAATGACCTCCATTTATTGCTATTACAGCTATTGATACCACTGATTGCTGTTAGGAGAGCACAGGAATATTTTAGGGGTATTGTACAATTGTACATTTTCCAGAGGGCCCCGCTGTCCCCAAGGACAAAGCTGCCCTTGGCAGTGAGAAATCTTGAAAGAGAAGCTCAGGTGGTCAGGCAAACCTTTGAATAATGCTGTTGGTGTAAGCCCAAATGTTTCCAGTCCTGTTTTTCAGTCTGGAAGCAGAATATAACACAAGGGGTTGAGTGTTTTTTTCCTCTGGGTCTGTAAGCAGGGATGTCACCTGTCCCCCTGGGAACTGGGCTTCCCACAGCAGGACACAGCTCTCACTTCTGTCTTCTGATAAATCTCTTGGTTTTTGCTATTAATGAGGGTGATCTGGTTGTGTTCAATTTGGGTCTCACTTGTCTCTTTTCCACATATTGAATTTGTCTAAATTCGGCTCCCAGCCTCTCATGTTTTAGTTGGAAACAAGCATTTTTAAAAGTAGTTATATTGGGTTGAATGTTTAGCAAAAGAAGGCTCATAATTTGCACGTGGAGCTATTTTTAGCACCTTAGGTCAGTTTGGTAAATACACAGATGTGTGGAAAAAACCCTGTTATGTCTTTGCCTTCCAAAGTCAGCTTCTGCATGCAGATCCCTCATGGAGACACAATTCCCTGGCACTGGGAGAGTCCCCAGGCCCTTCTCCGACCCCATTTCCTCACCCATCCACCCCTTGGAGCTGCTTTCCTGGGACATGTATGGCAGAAAAGCCTCTCACACTTCCTTTCTGGTTTTTCTTGCAGAGGATATTCAACTCCTTCGTGTACACGGAGAAAATATCAAATGGAGAAAGTGAAGTTCAGCAGGTGAGTCCAAAACCCCTTCACCTCCACTGGCAGAGTCAGCTCAGGGAATTCTTTCTGTCTGCATTTGTGGCCCCTTCCCAAGCTCAGATCACAGCCAGGAACAGGATGGGAGTGGGGATGGCTGCATGTGCTGATGATGCTTTTGAGAATTGTGCAGAGCTTTTCCATTGCTTGGTGTGGGGCTGTCCCTTGGAAACAAAAGGGCCCTCATGAAGGAGCTCCCGTTAATTGTCAGCCTTTCATGTTGGAAGTGTCTCTTTTTGAATTTCAAATTCAAAGTAAACCCAAAAAATTCAAATTATGATGTGGAAATATGGGACAGCTACAGCCTGGTGCATCATAGGTGGGGTTGAGGGGTGCTTGTAATTTTGTGGGGTTTTACAGGAGCACATTTCAACATTTAACTCTTCAGTTTAACATTGAGATACTACACGGGCAGTTTGCATTTTAATACATGTGTATATTTTTAAAATTAATTTTGGATCAGTTTTCAAACAGATCAAGTCGGTCATCTTTTATTATTTCAGAAATTAAAGTCCCAGTTATGTTTGTGGTCAAGGTGATGGGTTTTGGTCAAGGAAATGGAACAAAGAACCAAGTATGAGCATGGACTTGCTCAGCCTCCAGGAGTAACCTGACCTTCCTAGACCCCTATCAAACCAGTTTTAATGTTCAGGAAAAGCAGAAGCTGCTCGGAGTGGGGCTTTCCCTGGGGAAGAGGGAGCTGCAGCTCAGCCCTGCAGGCAGCCCCGTTGTGGCTCCCAGAGCAGGTCAGTGCATGGCGTGTTCATGTGGGCTCACCCTGCTCCTGGAATACAGCAATGATTCACACTCCCAGTTGTGCTTCCTGGAAATGGTGACATTTCCAGCCTTTCAGTTTTGTACTGAAGAAAAAGTCAAAGCAGAGCTGGTTCAGATGGGATTGTAAGGAACTTTTAGGTTGGAAAAGACTTCTAGGACTATTGAGTCCAGCACTGCCAAAGCCACCTTGTGTCCCCAGTTGCCACCTCCACAGGGATTTTAAATCCTTTCAGGGATGGGGACTCCTGAGCAGCTGTGCCAGGGCTGGAGAACCCTTCCTGTGAAGAAATATTCCCAAATATCCAATCCAAACCTGCCCTGGCCCACCCTGGGGCCGTTCCCTCTGCTCCTGTCCCTGTTCCCTGGAGCAGAGCCCGACCCCCCCGGCTGTGCCCTCCTGGCAGGAGCTGTGCAGAGCCACAAGGGCCCCTGAGCCTCCTTTGCTCCAGGCTGAGCCCCTGCCCAGCTCCCTCAGGGATTCTGCAGCCCCTGCCCAGCTCCCTCAGGGATTCTGCAGCCCCTGCCCAGCTCCCTCAGGGATTCTGCAGCCCCTGCCCGGCTCCCTCAGGGATTCTGCAGCCCCTGCCCAGCTCCCTCAGGGATTCTGCAGCCCCTGCCCGGCTCCCTCAGGGATTCTGCAGCCCCTGCCCAGCTCCCTCAGGGATTCTGCAGCCCCTGCCCAGCTCCCTCAGGGATTCTGCAGCCCCTGCCCAGCTCCCTCAGGGATTCTGCAGCCCCTTCCCAGCTCCCTCAGGGATTCCCCAGCCCATTCCCAGCTCCCTCAGCCTCTCCTGGAGCCCCAGACCCTTCCCCAGCTTTTTGGAGGTTTTGCCATGCCCAGGTGGGTGCATGCAAGCAGAGGGGCCACGGGAATGCAATTGTCACCTGGGTTTAACAATTGAAATCCCAAACCACCCCAGCATCCCTCAGGATGGGCTCTGTGGCTCTGTGCTGTGTAGGGCAGCATTTCCAGGAGTGTTTCTGGGTGGTCTGTGCACCACAGAAGGGCCATGTGGGCTGGATCAGATGTATCAGATGGCTTTTGAAAGGCAAAACTGTTTTTGGGAAACCAAGAAACTGGATCAAAACTTCTTTGAAGTCCTGACTACGGATTCTCCGCTGAGGAAAAGACAGTCCTTGTTTCCCAGAGCAGATGTCTGTGTTCATCCCAAGTGGATTTAAAGAGCTGTCCAAACACTGGAGGTGGGGTGATGGATCTGGAGCTGTCAGGGCAGAAAACGGGGCTCTGCTAAAGTGTAATTACTGTGCTTAAAAGCTCTACAGTGAAGTGGATGGAAGGATAATTGAGCACTTCTGGTTCATTAATAACCAGATCTTTTAGCCCTAACGAATCCCCAGCAACAGAACCTGAATTTTATAAGAGTAGGACATTGAATGGGATCATCTTGAGCAAAGGCAAACAAATGTAAGCAGATGAAATCCCCTGCCAGAGAAATCTCATTTCTGCTTTGCTCATTCATTAACAGTTTCGTAGCAACTGCTATCCAAAGGCAATTAATGACAGTTTTATGTCAGCTGGGATTTCTTTTTTTTTTTGGCAGAGCACTGAATTGTTGTGGGGGTGGTGGGTTTTTTGCACCAAACCATGTAAATAATGACTCTCAGTTTATTGAAAAAGTGAAAGATTCCAGCTGTTGGCCTTCAGGCCTAACTGTTCAATACCTTTGGCTTTCTTTGTGCCACACAAGGAGCAGTTTTACCTCTCAGCATTGAACTGGTTACACTTTTAAGGTCTGCAGTTGCAGAATTACTGTTGTACCTGACAGGTAAAACCTTTTCTGCTTTGAACAGGTTATTAAAAATGGGATGGCAATGGCCAAAACTGACTTGGATTCCTTCCCTGGGAGTTATTTCAGTATCAGAGAACTCTCATATGATATGAGAATGCAGTGCTGTGAGTTAGTGATGCAAATAAAGTGGGACAGGAGGAGTTTTATGAGGGGAGAATCTACATTAGCTGATTTCAGGGAAGTCAGTGTGTGTTCAGTGTCCTGCCAGACATCTGCTTTCCGTGAGGTGGAGAGCAGGGATCTGGGCTCCACACAGGAGAGGGGGTGAAATGCTCTCAGGCAGGAGTACATTGACCAACTTTGAGGAGAAAAGGCTTGAAAAGCTCAGACAATGCTGCCATTGGGTTGGATTTTTAGTTTGGTTGGTTTTGGACTGGGCAAAGAAGCCTTTGGGGAGGAAATAGATCTGAAATGTGCTGAAAAAATTACATTTAGCTGTTGAGCACAGCACGTTCCCTGGCTGTGAGAAGTGGTGTGTTCACACACATTAATGAATTGTGAGCCTCACAATAAAAGGCAATTATTGTGTGTTTAATGTACTTCCAGAATGATTCAGGAATTGTGACCTCTCTCTAGGTTTTGCTGTGCATCCTGTTTAACATCTTCCTCGGAATAAGTCTTGGGAAGCTTTGCCAAAGGTACTGGCCAGTAGAAAACCTCAAATGAGTGCTGGTTTCCGTGACAAAATGCACATTGGAAAGTGGTTTCCTGCATCCTGGTTGCAATAATGAAATAGATTTTCAGTGTCATCCAGAGGAGCAGGAATGGGGACTTTCCACAAGGGAGAATGGACTTACATGGAAGGAGGGGAGGTTTAGATGGGATTTTAGGGAGAAGTTCTTCTGTGTGAGGGTGGGGAGGCCACAGGGATCCCTGGGTCCCTGGCAGTGTCCCAGGCCAGGTTGGAGCAGGCTGGGACAGTGGAAGGTGTCCCTGCCCATGCTGGGGTGGAGCAGGATGATCCTTAAGGTCCCTCCCAACCCAAACCATTCCAGGATTCCATGAAGGGTTAGAATCCTTTCAAACAGAGCTGTGGGATGAAGCTGGAGGTGATTCTGTGACCCTGCCCTGAGCCATGTCCCTGCTCACCTCTGGCTCTTCAGGGTTGATACAAAACCAGTGGTTTCTTCAAGAGCCACGTAGATGAAAAATAAATAACATTGAAAGTTTCCTGGATTAGGAACCTGTGGATGCACAGTTGTGATACAGCAGCAGGATGAATGCCTGGTAGGTGTTGGAGAGAGGTGCTTTTTCCCAGATTTTTCTGGTTTACAGAGGAAATTTAAACCTCAAAATTCTAACTCAGCTCTTCCATGTGTAAGCAATCCTTTCCAGGGAGCTTGAGAGTGTTAAATCCCTGTCTGTGAGTCCATCCTGGCATCCCTGCCTGTCAATCCCACTGATGCATATTTTATATACAGGCTTGGAAACATGAAAAATACCTTGGCTTTCAAGCTGCAGCCAGAAATAAAACCTCACCTTGGAGCTCTGCTTTCCCTCAGAGCTCCCTGCAAAGGGAAGACTTCAGAGCTGTGGAGCTTTGAGGGGGAAGAAGCTTTAAAAAAAAGGCTCGAGGGAACGATGCAAATGAGGGAAATGTCTCTGGGAAAATTAGAGGAGCTCAGTGATGTTGTGATGAAAGGTTGTCAGTGGAGATGGTGACAATTGAAGTGCATTACCCAGGGGTGCTGCAATAATAGAAACAGGTGTTACAGTCCAACCTGTCTGCAGACCCAAGGGCTTTGGCTGCGTGTCAGCTGCCAGAGGAAATCCAGGGAAAACAGGGCTAATGGCTGCATTGTTCACAGAGAGCACTCTCTGCTCATTGTTTTGTTTATTAAAATCAAGGAGAAAGCACAGAAATCTGAAAAATGCCCACAGAGGCTTCCCCTGGCTGCTGTTTTTCAGATGAGGCAAAGAGCACTTTGTGTTGGATAATGATATTTTGTGTCAATCTCGAGGCATCCAGATTTATTTCAGTCTCCATTAAAATGGGTGAACTGGAGGATTTCTGTGGGAGCAGGAAATGTCTGTCACACTTGGTACCCACCCAGGTGTGGGACACCCCTGCCCCTTTCCTGTGTCTGATTGAGGGCACAGTTTTCCATTTTGCCTTAAAAATACTTGAGCAGTTATGTAAGCATGGTTTCATAGTTCACTCTTCTGTCCTTTCATTATTTGTTATCTCTCTTTCTCTGCTTTGGAGGTTTTGTGGGTCTGGCATCCATCAGCATCCAGCAGCTCTCCAGCTCCAGGCAGGTTAAAAAAAGCAGGGTATGTGCTGGATAAAAACTTCAGGTTTTTATTTAGAAAGAGGAGAAGGTGATTTAAGCCTGCAGCTTTGACTGTGACAGGCTCCAGCAGCCGAGAGCATCACTCTGCAAAGGAAATAAAGTTTGGGAGGGAAGTGAAGCCCAGCTATGGAAGAAAGGTTTGTTTTGTTAGGCTTCATCTGGGTGATACTTCTCAATTTGATTAATTAGAACCATTTGTTTCTAGTGTTTCATTGGTGTTTTACCCTCAGTTTCTTATCACAGTTTATTCATTTGAAGAAACTTTCAACGGAAAATTATTTTTGGATGGTCTTGCCCTCGGTGACTTTGAGTTTGCTGGTTTTGAAGTGGCCTGGATCGTTGGGAGCATTGTCTTGGTAGCAGAGGGCAATATTTTTAGAGTTCTTTAGATTAGACAAAGTCAGCTGTGGGCAGGGCATGGTGTCTGGAGCTCTGGGAGGTTTCAGATCCTTCGCTGCTGACACGCACTTGACTCCCGCCCCGACCGAGGCGCTGGATCCCCTTCCAGAGAAATAACGGAGTGACTTTGAGCCATTCAGAGCTTTTTTCATGGGAGACGCAGTTTGGGAACAAAGCATTTGCTTTTTGTCAGCTTCTGAAGTACAGGATCTTCTGAAAAACAGATTTGTCAGATCTTTAGACTCGGCACAGCAGGGTGAAATTCAAAGGCTGGGGGGCGCTTTTATCGTTCAACCTAGAAGGTGAAAACTCATCAACACCGAACCCTCAGCTTGAACAGCATTCATTTATCAGAGAGCAGCTCTGATTCCAAACCAGAGGCCTTTTGTTCTGGGGCCCTGTGATGGTTTTATGACTGCTAATGATGCTCAGCAAACTTCAGCTCTCTCCCCTCTTCCTGATTTCAGGTAGGGAAACCAAGAGGGAAACCTCAGATTCAAGTACCTGGTTTGCCTTGGCATTTCATTTGCCCAGCCTGAGAGGGGAACTTTGTACACACCAAATCTAAATGCTTTGATTTAGGAAACTTGGCTTGTATTTGTTTGAGAACAAAAACAATTTGTGCTGTATGACTGCTGCACCATGCCCCCATCCATGATGGAGTGAGTATGACATCCTGGAATTCCTCATGCTGTCATTTAATCTGTAAAGAAAATGAGAATTTCTTTGCAAAATAGCCTGAGTTTTCTGCTACTTGGGATAAAAACAGAGAAGGCAAAACTCCAAAGGTGCCTCTTACCTTGTCCTCATCTTCTTCTACATTTCTCCCACACCTGTGTTTAATGGTGGGTTTTAAACAATTCCAGGAGAATCCACTTCTGAAGAAACATTTGAGGGCTACAGCCAGACACAAAGAAAGTTTACTGGAAACCAGAGAAAGATCTCCCCAACAGCTTTTTATCCTAACAACTGGGAACAATTTAACAGTGCTGGATGTCTAACATGGAGGAGCCCATTAGCAGTCCTCTGGTGCCTTGGCAATAAATCATTGCACAGAACTAATTAGGTGTAATTCTGCAAGTCATTTGAGCAGGGTCCCATTAAACCTGTGCTCCTTGGGACCTGTCACGGTCTCCAGCATTCCCTGGAGCAGGCAGAGCAGGGCTGTTATCAGGGAGGCCTCCTGCCTCCCAGAACCAAGTAAATCATGACAAAAGGGCCTGTTGGTGAGAGCTGGGAGAGACATTTGTTAGTGCAGGGATCTGGAGAATCCAGGGCTGTTTGCCAGCACACAAGAGCAGCAGCAGCACTGTTCAATCATTCCTGCAGGGCTTGGGGTGTGCAGGAGAGAGGAGTGCTATGGATTGAGGAGGTGATTTAGCTCTGGAGAAGTTTGCAGAAATGCAGAACAGTATTTCTGATTATCCAACACCTCTGTCTGTTGCTTAAGAGGTGGTTCTTTCATTTGGGATTGGTTGGTGTGAAAGGGATGCAGAATATGCAGAGCAAAAAAAACCAAAAAATCCTGATCCATTTCATCAATTCCTGCCTTTGATGAAAGACCAGGAGTGAAAATCTCAGTAAATGTTCCCTGTGAAACCTGATGCCTCCTGCTAACTGTGTTCACTGTCACGTTTGCTCCAGGAGCAGCCACAGATTTTCCTTTCCCCTTTTCCCTGGCAGTCATTAGTCAGGCTCTTTGGGAAGTGCCTAATGAAGGGACACAAACGAGCTCCTCTGTGACAGCACAGTCACTCCAGCAGCCTGGGATGTGTCCCAGCTGGCTCAGCCCTTCCCAGTGCCTGCAATCTGCCTGGCATGGAGAGGGCAGAGATGCCACAGGCACCACCAGCCCTCAGATCACACCAGATTGGAAGTCTTTGCCAGCAAAAAAATCATTAATTTTACTTTTATTTTAATTTTTTCAAAAGGATTTAAGAAGAAGGGCTGAAGTACCCAATTTGCTATTTCCAAAGTGAACCACTCTATTTTTTAATGGTCTGAGAATTGCATAGGAGGGGCCACAACCTGTCAGTTTTCAGTTTCTGAAAGGAGCAGAATTGGCTCTTACAAATCACAGCGTCACCTCTAAACCTTGTCCTGATTTATAAGGAGTCCCTCTGACAACAGAAGGCTTCAGGAGGAATCTCACTGGTGCAAGACTTTTGTCATTATTTTCGTGCTGCTGTGGTATAACATCAGTTGGAGACGTTTCAGTCTGTGGTTGAAGCTGTGGATTGTGAGTAGGCACAGGGAGCTCTGGATCGATGAGGAAAGCACCCAGGCATTGCTCAGCCTCCCAGGAAAGCAGCAGGGATGGCAGCTGAAAAGCAAAAGCTGGGGCGCTTATTTGGCCCAGATCTCCTTGAAAGAGGTGGTGGAACACTCCTGCACAGATCCAGCTGATGGAGAGGCTGCTGAGGAACTCATGGCAATGTTTGGGGTTATTTGGGTTCCTTGGATCCTGAGGTTGCTCCCATCAGTGGGAGATTTGCTGTTGGCTCTTTGCTCCTGGAGCAGGAGGAGTTCTGTACAGCGAAGGCATCTCTAATACCATTATTTGGGCTTTCCTGAAGTGTCCATGTGTAGAACTTCAATAAATTCACTTGTGGCCTGGTTTATTCTCCATCACATCCCTGTCAGGCCTTGGAGCAAGCACCTCAGTGTCACATCCAGCTGTCAGTTCTTAGTGAAAGGGAATTTGTGTAATGGAAATCACACTTTTCACACATGCAGAGCTCTGTTGAGGCACCCACTGCTGGATGATAAATGTATTTTATTTTCTTATATGGTCTCCTTGCTGCAGCCAGTATTAATCACTCGACTTCTTGCTTAAGCCACAAAAATAAAAACACAACCAGCAAATCAGAAACCAATTGTCTTTAACACAGGTTCTAATTGCTTGTTAAGGAATGGGGTAATACAGAGAAACTGGGTTGATTTTAAACTTCCTTATATATATATTTTTTTTCCAGTTGGCAAAAAAAATCCGCGAGAAGTTCAACCGCTACCTGGACGTTGTGAATCGGAACAAGCAGGTGGTGGAAGCCTCCTACACTGCCCACCTCACCTCACCCCTGACTGCCATCCAGGACTGCTGCACCATCCCCCCTTCCATGATGGAGTGAGTATGAAAGTCTGGAATTCCACGTGCTGTCTTCTAATCTGGAAAATGAAAGTTTCTTTGCAAAGCAGCCCGAGTGCCGGGAAGAATGAAAGTTGGACAGGAAAGTCTCACAGCTAACGTGTGCTTGGCAGAAAGGTTTTTGAATGTAGAATGTGAAGAAGGAATAGAGATGGAAGCAAGTTTTGATATAGGAGAAAAGAATTGCTGAGCCAGCCTCACTGGGTAACCAAGGAGGCAAAGGGTGTGTTGGTTAGAAGGGGTTTGTATGGCTTAGAGCAAAGGATAAACCCACCCCAAACAAGAAGAGGTTTGCCTGTGCTGTCGTTCTGCTTGGTAAAAACAAGCCTGTGCTGATGTTGCAAGTAGAAAAAAGGTCTCAGAATTTTCCACTGCAAGAAAACTGAAAAACAACTTCTAGCTTAAACTGTGATGTACTGACTGTTAGTGACTGGAGAACAGTGACATGAATATGGTAATTACAAGAGTTATGATAGGCTATAGGTAATAGTTAAGGTATGGATTGGTTCTACTGTATTAAGATGCTCAGCAAAGAAAAGTTTATAATGCATTGCAACCAAAAGAAAAGTATAGAATGCAATGTAACCAAAAGAAAAGTATAGAATGCAATGTAACCAAAGAAAAGTATAGAATGCATTGTAACCAAAGAAAAGTATATAATGCATTGTAACCAAAAGAAAAGTCTATAATGCATTTGTAACCAAAACCAAAGGGCTCCAGGCCTGCCTGCAGCTGGAGCTGACAGCTGTGGGCACAGCTCTGCCACCCACCACCCTGGACTGCTGTGACACCTTGGATAGAATAAACTGCATTTTGGATAGAATAAACTGCATTTTGGATAGAATAAACTGCATTTTGGAGAGCTGCCTGGAGTCCCACATCCCTCATTCAGGCTCTTACTCCTGAGTTTTCTGCTACTTTGGGTAACAACAGAGAAGGCAAAACTCCAAAGGTGCCTCTCATCTTGTCCTCATCATCTTCTTCTACATTTCTGCCACACCAGTGTTTGATGGTGGGCTTTAAACAAGAGCTGGGAATCAGCTGGAAGCTACAAAAGAAAGAAAGTTTGTCCATGGTGTTCTGTACAAAGCGAGTCTGTCTAGATCCAAGACGCTGTTCTTGCCCTGCTTGCCCTGAATAGCTCTCCTCACGCTGGTCATGGGAGCTTTTCCTGTCCTTTGAAGTAGCCAAAATCACGAGTTGGTCAGTCCATCACATGCTAGCAGCACTGTGCTCCACTTTAATCAGGCTGACATGCTGCTGTTGGATAGCAGAGCTTCCATGAAATCGAGCCCATGGCTTGGAAACTGCATTTGTTCGTGTTCAGTTTGGTTTGGTTTCAAGTACAGGGGTTTTGAGTAGGCTAAATCCAGGCACTTGGTTGGCTTTAATAATTTCTGTTGTGCTGCATATTTGCAGAAATTTCTTTGGGTTTTCTAGCTGTAGAAATGTGTGATAGAAGCCCTGATTTTTCCAATTAAAGAGGAGTAATTTTCTTGAAATCCTGAACATTTTAAACATTTACTTCCATGTGGGCTTGAAAAGAACAAGGGTAACTTTCCATTTATGCAAACCTTGACTACAGACTGATTTTCATGGTTTATATCTCAGTCTGATTTAAACACATTTGAGAGGGAGGAAGGCAATTTGGGCCATCAGGTGACTCCAAGGGCACAGGTTTGGAGTCTCTGTGCAGTTCCTGCTGGACAAGGCGCCTGTGGAAAATGCTGCCACAGCCAGGCTGTTGGCAGTGTGGACAAAAGGGCCGGGAATTCTTTGAGGATGAAAACCTTTCTGCCCTCTGATCACAAAATCCATGCAGGAATCACCAGGCAGCAGGAACACCTTCCAAGCAAGGGCTGAGGGGAAGCAGAAATGGGATTTATCACCCCCCTTGTCAGTGTGGCCTCATTTTTCATTAAAAAGAGAAGTCTGCTTTTAGTCTGGAACTTTAGTGAATTCCTTTTCACTTTGTCCTCCAAAACTCCATAGCTTGGAAGTCCTCCAGAAATTTCTTTACCTGTGGTGAACTTGCATAAGAATCCTGCCCAGTGAGAGGTTTAAAGCACAAACAGCTGGCAAAGAAGAGGGCTGAATTTATTGCTTGCACAGCTCCTCATTCGTGCTCTACAATGGGATTCTCCTCATTTAGTTGCTTGGATAATAATGAAATAATCCCCAGAAGAGTTTATCAGCTGCAGGATGTTCTGGACCTTGGCAAGGCCTGGTTGAGGCTTATCTGACCACTGGGCCCAGTGCTGTCTATAGGAAATCATCTGTAAGACAAAAAAAATAGAATGTAAAAATGTATTTTCTGTTTGAAACTTCCAAGTTTTAGCTCCAATGAACAATGCTTTGCTCATTGCCTGATTTTGTCTAAATGCTTCTGCCATCATTTCAGTTTTTCTCCCCTTTCTGCCTCTCCCATCTGCTGCTCTTCCTTTCATTTTCCTTCCCTGTGGCATCACCGTTCTGGGAGATTCCCCATTTTGGTTAAATATCAGGGAAGGAGCTGATTCCCCTAGATATTGTGATCATATTTTGAATTCTTGCATGTTTAATTTGTGAACTAGCTGGGTCTGCACTTGCAGGAAGTTAAATTGGATGTGTTACTGCTGATAACAGCTTATGCTTGGTGTTTGAAATGTTTAACGTTGGTGTTAAAGCAACAATAATTAAATTTTTTTGGTTAAAGTATTTATTAACTGCTGCTGCAGAAGAGGTCACATGGAAAAAGACCCAGATTTGTCTGTGATTTTTTTTTTTTCCCCATGAGATCCTTTGCCTCAGATTGTGCCTTGGCCTTGTCTGAGTCCTCAGGGCTGTGGTTTTCGTTCTGGAGGGTTGTGAAATGTTTGTGTTGCAGCTCCTGAACTCTGTGTGTTTTCTTCTTCTGGCTGTTTCCTCATGTGGCCTCTTCATTGAGCAAACATTTGGGGCAAGAGCAGTGGCAGAAGTGCATTATCTACATGGTATTTTGGGGTATTTTTAGGTGGGTTTGAAGATTTTCCCTGGAGTGTTTAAGGCTGTTTGTCACATGGTGTTCAGCCTCTTATTGTCCAGCTTATTGACAATGGGAATGCTGCAAGTTTGGATTGGTCTGGGGAAAATTCATTGGGAAGGATGAACTGTTCTGTAGGGAAAGGATTTTTAAATTTTTTTTTTTTTTTAATAGATTGCTGGCTTCAGTTTGTTCTTACCATTAAGAAAATGATCCATCAGTTTGCTTGTGTTTCTTCTGAAAATCCAAGCATTGGTTTTTCATGTTGCTTGGGATAAACTGTGAGATTTCCACACCTGGTGGCTATAAATAAATGATAGAAAACAGGACCTAACAAAGCACAAACTGGGTTAGAAAACAAACCTGGCATTTAAATTGGTTGTTTAATGAGTAGTGAGGTATGACAGGGAAAGCAATATTTATTTTATTGCCATTACATGTTGTTGGCTCTTGCAGTGAAGAGCCCAAATAAGTGAGTTTCCGTGCCATTCCAGTCTGGATTGAAATTCCCAGCCTGACTGTGCTTTTGGTTGCTGTTTGTACCCCAAATATTCTGGTTTCACTGGTGTGAGACCAGCAGTTGTGTGGTTGTGCCCCCTCCAAGGCAGGGTTGTGCAATGGAGCTGCCTTGGTCTGGAAAGTGGTGAAAAGAAATAAATTGGAATTTGCAAACCCAACTGGATGAGGCAGCACAGTTGGTGGCTATCGAGTGGTTTTGGCAAGGCCTTAATTCAACAAACATTTCCTGATAAAATTACACTCAGCTGCTCTACCAAAGCCTCTAAATGTGCTTGGGCACAGGGAAATAATCCCAGGCCTGAATCTGTGTGCAGGCACTGCCAAGGAGGGGGGAGCAGGGCAGGACTTGGTTCCCCTGTCGGAACCCAAAATGCAGGGAACTCTCAGAGCTTTGGGCCTGTAAAGCAAAGCTTGGAATTAAACCCAGGGTTTGATCTGAGCCCTTGGGAAAGGCTCCCAAACTGAGGTGCCAGAAGCGAGAATGTGGATTTCTAGTTTAAAGCAGAGACATGTTAAGCTAAATAAAAGAAAGTTTAGAGTTTTAGAGTTTAAGATACAGAAAAAAATCAAAGTAGTTACAAAGGTAACAAAGAGTTTAGAATGTAGCACTGTGGGTGCTAGAAGAGCTCACACTGTAGCATGAGTCCATAAGACAAAATATGTAAGGATTGGGTCAAAAGCATAAATAAATATCCTTGTTGGCAGTGTTTTATTGGTTAATAAACCCTTAAAAGGATTGTGACTGGAGGCCTTGTGACCCTCTGAGCCGTGCAGTGAAGATGTGAGCCCAGCTCACCCTTCCTGCCTGTGCAGAAGATAAAAACAATAAATCCCAGCATCTGAAGGAGCTCAGAGGTGCCATCTCTAATTCATTCAAAATCCCCACATTCCCCTTTGGTTTTTGCTGGTCCTTTCTCCCAAGGCAGATGATCTCTGCTGGCATTTTCAGCTCTGCCTAACCAAGCTCTGGGAATGGCTCAGGGGCAGGCAGGGAGCAGAGGTTCCCAAGCTCTTCCCACATGGTTGGTGTGGAAATTGGTGCCTGCCCGAGCAGCCAGGCTGTGTTTGTGTCCCTGGGGTCAGGCCTGGGCACCAGGACCATTTCCCAGGCTCTGGGGGAGAGGAGGCTGCTCAAGCAGACAGAGTTAATCTGGATAAAGTGTTCCAGGCTCTGAGCGAACTGATGGCAGATAAGGAAAATGGATGTCAAGTGAGGTGCATCTCCTAATCCTGGAGGAAATCCCTGCTGGAAAAACGAGCCTTTGTGTCCCTCACCGGCACAGGCTGCCCCACAAGCCATGAGGAGTGGATTTAATGCTGTCTCCAGACATTCCCTCTCACGATGGAACTGGGGGGTGATTTACCAGACAATGTTTTAATTAAAGTGGCTTTCTCCTGAAGAGGATACAAGCCTTTGTGTACAAGTTGGAGTCTCCTGGTTTTCGTGCCTGAAAGGCCT